CTTTAAGGGTCCATTTGGAAAATTATTATTTTTGTGTTTGGTTTATTTTCCAGAAAATGAATAGAATGGTATACTTTAACATTTACCAATAAAAATTACACAACAAGAATGGTATACTTTAACATTTACCAATAAAAATTACACAACAAGCATAAACAAGAACAAGAATGGTATACTTTAACATTTACCAATAAAAATTACACAACAAGCATAAACAAGAACAAGAATGGTATACTTTAACATTTACCAATAAAAATTACACAACAAGCATAGACAAGGGGAAGCAGAACCAATCGGAAACCTGATTTCCGAAAACCTTATTAAATAGCACCTATGGCCTAATGGATAAGGCGCTTGACTTCTAATCAAGCGATTGTGGGTTCGAGTCCCACTAGGTGTGTTACAAAGTATAAATTTCAAGCTCTCTACCCTTCTTTAAGGGTCCATTTATGGTATACTTTAACATTTACCAATAAAAATTACACAACAAACATAAACAAGGGGAAGCAAAACCAATCAATTGAAAACCATAAACAAACATCAAACCCCGACAAACATCAGACCAATGGGGGGGGGGGGGGGGAACCCTGATTTCATACACAGCTGGATTCCTACCGCAGCCGGAGTGAAAACGTGAAAACCTGGCCAGAAACCCTGATTTCATACACAGCTGGATTCCTACCGCAGCCGGAGTGAAAACGTGAAAACCTGGCCAGTGAACTGGTTTCAATCGTTTCATACAGCTGGAAACTAGTGGCCAGTGAACTGGTTTCAATCGAAAACCATAAAAACAAGGGGAAACCTTTCAATCGAAAACCATAAAAACAAGGGGAAACCTGATTTCCTACAGCAGATCGAAAACCATAAAAACAAGGGGAAACCTGATTTCCTACAGCAGCCCGGAGTGAAAACCTGATTTCATACAGCTGGAAACTAGTGGCCAGTGAACTGGTTTCAATCGAAAACCATAAAAACAAGGGGAAACCTGATTTCCTACAGCAGCCCGGAGTGAAAACCTGATTTCATACAGCTGGAAACTAGTGGCCAGTGAACTGGTTTCAATCGAAAACCATAAAAACAAGGGGAAACCTGATTTCCTACAACAGCCGGAGTGAAAACCTGATTTCATACAGCTGGAAACAGTGGCCAGTGAACTGGTTTCGCATCGGAAGCCAGAGGCACTGGTGGCACTGGTTTCCGACTGAGGAAACCAGTGACGAACACCAATGTTGAAGGGGGAGGCGAACCTGAAGCGGCGAAGGTGAAACTGAAACTAACGTCTCTGGTGAAAATGATACTACTTGGTTACATTTATTAAATAGCACTTATGGCCTAATGGATAAGGCGCTTGACTTCTAATCAAGTGATTGTGGGTTCGAGTCCCACTAGGTGTTATAAAGTGTAAATTTCAAGTTCTCTCCTTTCCCCTTCTTTAAGGATCCATTTGGAAAATGATAGAAAACTATTTTTTGTGTTTGATTCATTTTTCAGAAAATGAATAGAATGGTATACTTCAACATTTACCAATAAAAATTACACAACAAGCATAAACAAGGGGAAGCAGAACCAGGTCAACATTTACCAATAAAAATTACACAACAAGCATAAACAAGGGGAAGCAAAACCAATCGGAAATCACTGATTTCCGACAGCCGGGAACCATTAGTTCCCGGCTACGAAAACCATAAAAACAAGGGGAAGCATAACCAATCGAAACCACTGATCTCCGACAGCTTTAAACTAGTGGCTTTGATTCCCGGCTGCGGAAACCATATCTCTGGTTTCCACATCGAAAACTAGTGAACTGGTTTCGCATGGGAAAGCAGTTATGGTTTCCGATGCGAAAACCAGTGAACTGGTTTCCGCATCGGAAGCCAGAGGCACTGGTTTTCGGCTGAGGAAACCAGTGACGAACACGAATGTTGAAGGGGGAGGCGAACCTGAAGCAGCGAAGACGAAGGTCAAGCTGAAACTAGCGTGTCTGGTGAAGATGGAAAATGACCCCACCCCAAATAAAAAAAAGGGAAGTCTTTTTCCATTGACCAGACCTCATTTTCCTTTCACCTTTCATTTTCTAGCCTAGCGAAACACCAGAAACCTAGAAAATGATTTCCAGATATCAATTTTCAGGTTCCCAAACAGACCCTAAAATATAATAAAATCCTATATATAATAAAGCCATATGGTCTTGTGAAAATTAAATGGTGATAATCAACATTTAATTTTCACAAGACCATAATAATATTGTTATTATGAAAATTAAATGATGATAATCAACATTTAATTTTTACAAGACCATAATAATATTGTTAATTATAATAACAATAACAATAATAATAATAATAATTGCAATAATAATAATGATAATAATTTTCACTGACAGTTTCTAATATATATATATATATATATATATATATATATATTTATTTATTTATTTATTTATTTATTTATTTATATTTCAATTTCTACTGACAAATTATTGTGTGAACGATGGTCCACAAAATAGTATGGATCATGAACATCAAATACATTTTTAATGTGTTAAAAGTACATTATTTTTATATTGAAAGTACCTTACATACATATATAATGTACCCTTAGTATATTTAAAATATACTTTTTATTGCATGCAACCCCAAAGTTCATAAGTTTGAAATTAATATATGACATAGCTAGGCAGCCTAATATTTAAGATTGTTGATGTGCATATTGAGGACTACGAAGACAAAGATGCGTTATTCGTGGATTCATCGGATACTATCCAACAACACTCTCCAACTTAATTGACGTGAAGTAGGCTTAGTAACATTAAGATTATATTCTCGAATTATTAGTTCTCATCTTTTATTGATTATACACTTAATTCAATAGTATTTGGAAGAAAAAATCAATGTTCGAACTAAGATTGTGATTTTGGTCTTTAAAGGTCAATTGTATGTTGCTACATCTAGAGTTAGAAATCTCAAAGGTCTAAAAATTTTGATCCGTGGTGACTCTAAAATTGTAATTCAATTACTATTGTAGTTTACTAAGTTCTTAAAAATTTGTAATATTAAATACTATATACTAAATTTTTAGTATAGTTTAAGATTTGTTGTAATTACCCACTTTAAATATTATTTTAATTGTAAATATATTTATGTTCATAATTTTATCATAGGAATTCACACATAATAATTATTAAATAACAAAATTTTTATATATGAATAAACCTCATATAGGGTATATTTTTATAACATATTTTCCGTGTATTGCACGGGACAAATACTAGTTATAACATATAGCGAAATTTTTACTCAAGTATTATTGTTTTCTTTTTCTTTTCTATCAATAAAATCTCAAGTTGGTTTTGATTTATATTAAAAATTTGATGTGATCATAAAATATTAAAAACTTAATATTGCCAACTATCATGTAGTGTGATGGTATCCCGATTATCATTTTAAATGAATGGTTATATGTTCAAACCTTGGTGGTGGGGCTTAGATTCTTTAGGTTGAAAATGTTTAAGAAAGTATATAATATATACAACTTAGTAAAGAATCATGAATATTTCAAAAAAAAAAAAAAAAAAAAAAAAACTTAATTTTGATAAATTGGTTATCTTATATATTCTATTTTATAATATTTTGCAGGTTTCCTATTTCGAATGGAATTGACTGAAGCACAACCTCTATGTAAGGTCAATGATGACTGCAAGCCCTATTGTTCATCCCTTAAAATCCTCCTCCCAATTTGTGATGCTGGACTTTGCAAATGCCTTACTCCTCCTCCTCGGCCTAAAGCTTATTGAATCACACATTTTGTAACCACATTGTTGTTGAAATTTTTAGCATAAATTGCATTGTAAGTGGCTATTATGAGATAGAAATATATGTGGGGTTCACTTTTAATTTGGATCAGAAAAAATAGATTCGCACTCTTCATAATGAGACGAAGAAATTGATATATTGTATGCTCAAAATGAATAATAGATAAATGAAAAATGGATATAGTGAAGTGCTTTGCAGCATTTTTTCGAATAGTGCTATGTTTGCACATATTTTAATACACCTTCGTGAGGTACATTGCATGCACCATTTTGAGAGGTGCAAGTTATGCACATTTAGTGCAGTGACTCTTTGGTGAATTCTGAAAGGTTAATTTACATTTTGAATGTTTGGACTTTTCGGTCACTCAAGTATTTTGAAATGAATTATTATGATCGGTATTAGGGGCAGATTCAGAAATCTTTGTTAGTGGGAGCGAAAGATTAAAAACCAATGAGATATTTTGAAAAAATAATACTTAGAGGCCGAGTCATAAATATTGTTAATTAGGATGAAAAATTAAAATACATCAAAATGAGATAAAAAATATTCAAAGCAAAATATGAAATATAATTAATTAGATAAAATAATTTGAATCGAAAACATATTACAAAACACTCATATCCTCCACCAAAACCATTTCTTCTTAAAAATTATGCTACATTTCCAAGAAAATATCGAAGTGCTCGATGTTTGTTCTAGTTCGCCGGACTTTATATTTGAGTGCTTGAACACTAAAGTCGTAATCCGTATATCCTGAGAGACTGACGCTACAACACTCCTAACACCCCCGGGAGGTAGCGAATCGATTTTAAAAAAAGTGTGAGTACACAAAACTCCAATTTATTCTCCTTCTCGTTCATTTGTTTTCTTGGTGGGTTCATTTTTCTAAATCAAGAACCCTCTTTGTTGTGTTTTATTTATTTTTGTATAAATAAATTCGAACCTGATAGTTTCGTACTAATTTTAAGACTGTCTCTTAGTCTTAGGGGTGGACGTTTCGATATTCCGTTCGATTTTTTTAGTTTCGGATTATTCGGTTAAAAAAAAAAATTGAAATCATTCGATTTACGGAGTAACATTTTAGTTCGGTTCAGTATAGGAACCTCAATTCCCAACATTTGCTAGTGCTCTAACACAAATAATTAATTAATTATGGAAAAATGGTCAAATAAACCCTCAAACTTTATCCAAAAGTGCAATTAAACCCTTCAACATTTAAAAAGTTCAATTAAACACTAAAACTTGTCATTTTGATACATTTAAACCCAAATGACCGATTATTCACCTGAAACAACCGGTCATTAATTTTCCGTCCAACATTCCGGCAGCCGTCGAACATATTGCCGGCATCGATGTATGGAACGGGGAAGAGAAGACCTCCAAATTCTTGAAGGATTACTACAAGCTGGATGGGTCTGTATGCATTGTGGCTATAAGTAATAAACCATAAAATATAAAATTTCAATGCACCTATCTATGAAAGAATCTCTCCTATCCAAGGAAGTTCAACTAAGTCTAGTGCTATTATGTGATATTTCTATTTGCAGTGGTAACAAACTTCAACCTACCCTATCAAGAATTGAAGCCATCTAACCTCGAAACTGAAGATGAAATCTGTACCAGTATTCGGGAAGTTCTCGCTTTAATGCTATTTGTCCTTCCAGGCTAACCCCGCGAATTTGCATATTCTGCGTTATAAGAATTTCCCATCAAATGTATGCTCCCCCGAGACAAAGAAGCAGCGAGGGTGTGATAGATATCGCATTTACCTGCGTGATGAAAGTATATTTCTTTTCTTGGATTCCTTAGTTCATCTACTGGAAGACATGGCTTCCTCGATTCTTTTAATGATCACGCTCAAACCATGTCCGCCCTCCATAGCTTTAACAGCAGCTCGATGTGCACGTTTATGCCATTTCAACAGATTATACGATTGCATAACTGACCACCTAGCTTGATTCGACATCTATAATTCCAAATTCATCAATTCACTGAAAGCCATTAAGAATAATCTTTTGATCAGATATTCAGATGTAGTAGTACCTGAGCCACAGAAAGCGGTGGATCGAGAAGAATACAGATGCTTCTAAATAAATTCTCATCATTTTCTCCACCCTCGGCTTCGCCATAGACCAGAGCCTCAGCAGCAATTCCAGCAAAAAGAACCATGCAATACCTGCCCGTTAAGTTACACAAGGCATTTGAAAATATTTATTTGTATTCCATATCTCAAGTGCACCTAGCCTCTAATCCCAAATGAAACCATAATGAACAAGGCCAGAATATCCACCTGTCAAAGGCAGTTCCACTCAATCGGCCTTCAGAAAGCTCGTTCTGAAGTTTTTCATCCCAGAATTGTGTTCCAGCCTGCAAGAAATAAACAGAATAACATATATGGAGCTACAAAGAAAAGGTCGCACTCATAATTTCCTATGAAGCATCAGATTACGGAGAAGGCAGAAGAGAAGTCCATATTCATTTTTCACCAATTTAGAGGTCATCTATGTCTCTACCGCCTTTTTTGCTTTATTATAACTGTTATATTGTTGTTGTTTAGATGTGAAGTATCCGGTCCATGGGCCTGACAAATCCCCGCGATTGTATGCTAAACTAAGAATCCTCTCAACCAATACCAAGGAAAACCACCGGATGTGTACCCACATGGTCATGGCACCGATGGATCAAACATAGTCCTGACAACAAGTCAACCCCTTCTTACAAGCAAAGAATAGGCCAATCTGACCAGTACTTTGCCCCTTAATTGGGCCGGCCCGGAGCGAATGGGGATTAGTCTGAGTATGGTACGGGCTTAAAGGTGCTTCCTACATTTAGTGCCTGCTCAGGACACCTCATGGTCTGACCAAAAAAAGAATAGGCCAAGGATATAATGGCATGCACACTTTGCATGTAGATTAGAGGTTGCTCTTTCTTCCCCGTTACCCCAAAAGGTTGAATCCCCAACCCCAAGGGCCCTTCACACCCCGGCCCGACAGAGCATTTGAGAGGATGTAAATCACGGTAACTCAGTGGCTCAACAGACGGCAAAGAGATTGTTCTTTCTTGTTCAATCTCAGTGGCTTAATGAAATGTTATTTAGACAAGTAGAATATTGCCAACTAATTCCATATTTACAGTGCTTGAGAATTTAAGATGCGAAGGGCATGCAATCTAAAGGGTTGAGTCGAAAAACAATCTGTATCCCATAAAAGAATATGGGGAAGTTAAAGCACAATAAGAGATACCTGGCCTTGGATTCCCATCTGCATTGCCACAATGGGATCCAAAATAACACCACGAATTGGACAACCCATGAGGTAAGCTGCAAGGTCATATTAGAACATATTTATCATACTACACGATTAAGGATAATATTATATTAGATTGTGCACATTGTGTCTCCATATGCTAATCCGGTTTACAAACAATAAGTAAAATCCCGAATTTCTTCTGAGCAAATCAATCGATCAACGCAATAAAAGCTTGATGCCTTGATTATTGACAGAAGAAAACAAAAAGACTCTACCTACAAGAAGATGGCCAGCTTCATGAACCAGGATTCGCCGCCTATAAGGAGGCCAAAAGCTTGAAATCTGAGCTAAGCAAGAACCTCCAAGAAATATAGCATCAAGAAAGGTCAGGCCCAGTACTGCCGCAATGTTGGGTCTGATGTCAATTCCCTGATTTACCAGAAAAGAGGTTCCACCAAGCAAAGCAATCAAAACAAAGCTAGAGCTTCCTGAAAGACCCCACTTTTTGGGTGAAAGTTTTGCCACTGAAACAGGGGAAGAGTTGGACATGAAATCAACCACACCATGAATTTTTAAATTAAATATGTATGCACAAGATAACAAGAAATGGAACAGTTTCAAATTCCTGCAATTAAATAAGATACATTTGGGTCATTGAGATTCCCAGAACGATTGTTAACGTTTTCCCACAACTGAAACTTTGTTAATTAGATCTTATGAGGAAAAAGTGTTGAGAATTTGAGATGAGCTAAAAATGAACATAGGTCTGGTAAATTAGGATGAAGGGAGTAGCAGATATGTACTGACCATCTAAACCTGTCGATGACTTCAATAAGGTCGGTGTTACATCTCTTGGGCCTTCCAGAACTACATAGATTAGAAAACTTTCTTAAAATCTTGATTACATACACTGAAATTACACACACAAAATCTGAAAACTGAGAAGATTACCAATACTGCGGCATTTCCCAAAATTGGGCAAGAGGCCCCTGTCTTTGAGAAAAGCGTAGGCGCTCCCAACAAGCCTCATATCATCCGCATTCAAGCAGGTATCCAAAACCTCCCAATTCCGGTCTTGGCGAGCGGCCCGAGCCCAATCCAATTCACTCGGATACCCACTCGGATCAATCCAAGATTCCTCCTTTGGTTGAACAGGAATGTCCTTGAGGAACCGGAGAGCTCTAGTGAGGTCCTTATCCTTCACCGCTTCGTCATATTCTTGCCAGTCCTTCAGAGCTCCGGCTCTGCTCAGACGCTGGCTTTTTCTCAGGTAACGTTGCTTACGTACAAACGGAAAAGAGCCGGCGGGCGCATTCCGGCCTGGGGTTGCGCTAAACACCAAGAATCCGGCGGGATCAGTGCGGTGCAAAGAAGGAAAACCAAGGAGCATTGTTCATGTCTCACACTCTCAGAGTCTCATGGGCGTTGGTAAGCAAAAACTGGAAAATGTCGATTTTTTTTCTTTAATGATCGATTGGATTCTAATAGGATAGGACGATTGTGGACACGGATACTATCTAAAAAGAATTTTATTTTATTTTTTTGAAAAAGAAGAATAGGGGGCGTTTGGTTCAGGTTATATAAGATAACTAAGGGAATGTGACATTTCAAAGCTCACATTCCGGTGTTTGGTTCATATTATCTCAGGGAATGTAACATTCCCTGGGAATGTCACATTCCCTCCACATAGGATTTTGAAGGGAATGTGATTCCCTTCAAAATCTTAGGTAATCTAAGATAACCTTGGTTATGTTAGTTATATATATATATATATATTTATTTATTTATTTTTATTATGTTATGTTAGTTTATAAAATAATTTTGTTTCTCAAGTTCAAGATTTTAGTTAATATTTTAAAATCATGTGATTATATATGATACCGTTATCTTATTTATTTATTTTAATTTTTAAATTTATTAAAATATATGAAAATATGTTAAGGATATGATAGTGTGTATAAAAGATAACCCTAAACCAAACATCATTATATTACATACCCCAATTTTAACCAAACACAGGAATCTAACATTCCCAGTAATCTAACATTCCTAGCAATCTAACATTCCTTAAGGTAATCTTACATTCCGTGAACCAAACGACCCCTAAGGGTAATCCGAAGAACAAATATCAATTTTAGTCACACGAATATTAACAAAATGATAATTTTAGTCTACGTGTTTAATTTTTACTAATTTTGACTATTGTTTTAGTACTAATTTTTATCCAGAACTAGTGTTTTAGTTCCAAAATCCACCACGTTAGTAGCCCTTTTGTTTAAGACATGTCGAAATTTAAAATTTGTAGGAATAATGCTCAAATTAGCCATCGAACATAACGTGAAAATGTAATTAGGTCACTCAACTAAAAAAACTGCAATTAGACCATTCAATATTGTAAAACCATGCAATTTGTCCCAAGTGACCTGCAATGACAGATTACCAACATGTAATTAATTAAATTTTTTAAAAAAAAAAAAAAAAAAAAAAAGTCTCCAATCATGGAGAGGTCACCCTCAACGCACCATTTCTCCTCCAAACCTTCAGCTAGCTTTGTTCATCCCTTTCTCCTTCAAATCCCAGCCGAAGTCGCATCTCTCTTGCCTCTCTCATCCCTTTTTGTCTCTTGACCAGCAACAAGGAGATTTCAACGGCAATGGACGACGACCCTACTTTCCTGGCGAGCATCAGCAACTATAGCACAAGGCAGCAGATCTGGCGACATCCAGTTTCTCCTTCCGGCGATGACAACGGGGCAGACGACGGTGGTGACGGAGATATAGGCGGCGTTTGTGAGCTCTGTTGGTAGCGACTTCTTCTCCTCTGGTGTGCAGCAGCAGCGTTCCGGTGAGGTGGGGTCTTCACCAGTGTAATGGTTCCGGTGCCAATGGCGGCGAGCTACTCTCCCTCTTCCATCGGCAACCCCTGTTTCCGGCGGGACAGAGTAGGTGGCGGTGGATGGTGAGTTTTTCCAGCAAAGAGAGGTAGTGCGCAGTAGCGGCAGTCCGGCGGTGACTGGTTTCAGTGAGACGATGCCATTCATCTCTTCAGCCATTAATCAAGACCACAGCCGACGCCACTATTTCCTCCTCTGCCATTTCCTCTACATTTCTGCTCGCCAACAGATCTGAAACCACAACCGACGCTCTCGCCCTTCCTTTGCCGGCGCTGCCTCCGTTTCGTTTTCTTTCTTTTTTTTTTTTCTTTTGTTTTAAAATAATTTTTAATTTCTTTTTAAAACTTTTAATTACTTACTCGTTGCTAACCTGCTAATGCAGGTCACCTGGGACAAATTGCATGATTTTACAACGTTGAATGATCTAATTGCAGTTTTTTTAGTTGAGTGGCCCAATTGCATTTTCGCGTTACGTTCGATGGCTAATTTGAGCCTTATTCCAAATCTGTAAGGGTATTTTCGTCCTTTTTAACTTAAAAATCTCAATTTAAACATGAATAAATGGATTTAAGTTCTAAGATCGATCTCAATTCGCAACTCTCATCCTCATCCTACCTTAATTTGAGGAGATAATTGCGAATTCGGATCGATCTTAGGGCTTAAATCCCTTTATTCATGTTCAAATTGTAATCTTAATTTGAAAATGATGAAAATACACTTAAAATTTTCATATTTCGGCATGTATTAAACGAAGGGATCACAAGCGCGATAAATTTTATCACTAAAACAATTGTCGTGAATGAAAATTGGTACTAAAATAATATTTGTGGATAAAAATTGGTAGGAATTAAACACAATTTAAAAATGATTATGCCATTTAGCTATACAATTGGTTCTCTATTATTTTTCTCTCTTAATTGTACTAATATCTGGTTTTGTTCTAAAATTGATAATTTAATTCCCCACAATAAAAATGTTGCTATATATGAGCAATGATGCAAAATTCCTCTGTAAATTGAACTGATATTTGGGTTTTGGTTCAAAATTTGATGGTTTTTTTTAAATACATTATTTTAACAATGTAGTATGTTCTATACTTTCTCAATTCAAAGTCATCATATTACATAATAGTCGGCCAAAAATTTGATGTTCAGATTAGTTTCAGATTAAGCATTGTTCCTCGCATCTCAAATGTAACAAATTATACCATGAAACATGATTTACATTGCATTTTAAAATCTGATCTAAAATGACATTTAGATTATATTCAAGTATATAATTAACATATTATGTGCATATAATTAACATATAATATGTCTGTAAATAAATTAAAAACACCTAATTTATTAATCAAACACGCATAATATATTAATTACAGACAAAATTTTTAAACAAGAATCTACGATGTAAAGTAGACATAGTCCATAATATAACAATTGCTCAAATGCTTCATGGCCTTAGTTCTTGGGCCTTCAACAATTTTAGGACAATTATATAATGTTTTTTTCGTGCTCCTTGCTGGACATCAATGGTACAGCCCACAAGGTAATTCCTTATTATATTGTTTTCATTTTCAATGCCTTCTTTGAGCAATTGTTATACCATCATGAATTAAGATTCATCATAGATTATGAACTCTATTCCAAAATGATATTTAAATTATGTAGCTGCAGCTAATATACTGGCCCTGTTTGGTAAAAAATTGGCTTATAGGCCAATTTTAGCTTATTTGACCACTATTAATTGTTTGATTTAGTTAAAATATCAATATAAATGTTTGGTTAATTAGCTTTTTGCAACTCCTAAAGGCTAAAATTTAAAAAGCTACTCCTAGCAACTTTTTCAATTAGCTTTTTGAGAAAAGAAATTATACCAAACAGCTATCAGCTAACAATTAATTTGCCAAACACTTTTCTATAATCAGCTAATGTTATCAACTATTTATACCCTCTAATTAACACAATCAGCTAACAACAAACAACTATCAACTAACAGCCATTTTACCAAACAGGGCCACTATGTGTATTCAATTAATAAATTATGTATATGTTACATTTAACATATTATATACATGCAATTAGTAAATTATGTACCTATTATATTACAGTTACTAAAAATTAACATATTATATACATGCAGTTAACATATTATGTTATTTATGTACCTCAATATATTTATATGTACATATTCTATTAACTGAAACTATATATAATATGTTGAATGCAAATTACAGTATAATTTGATGAATGCAAATGGGTACATAATGTATCATTTTATCTTAACATCTTATGTTGGAAAAAGTAAATGAGTAAATGTATCACCCCCCCCCCCCCCAAAAAAAAAAAAAAAAAAAAAAACCCTTAACAATGTTGGGGTCTCAACATTTTTGTGTTTGAGATTTTTTAGGTTATCAATTACTAAAATTAAAAGTTTTATGAAAAATCACTCAAAAAGCTCTGCTTTCACATTGAAAAACTAAAACCCAACCTGTTTTCTTTTCAAGGAAACTATAAAATCTACTATATATATATATACTAATAAGAGCTCAAGAGAGTTAGGTCTATAATGGGTAGAAAAAATGGCGGTCACAGATTTTAATCAAATGAATGGCTCAGATTGATTAAAAGATTGATAAGATTTAAATTTTATATTAAAATTTTCTAAAATACCCACACACCGTTACTAAATCCGTTAAAATTTTAAGAATTGCCGTTAGTTCACCGTTAACTTACTCATTGATTTCAATAAAAAAAGGTCTTAGGTTCGAACCTCATCCCAAACAAAGTTGGCATAATTAGTACTCTATTTTACTCTTATTAAATTATATAAATAATAATTTAGTAGCTACAACAAAAAATTATAGATATGCATTTCTTTAATTTAGAATTATGTGTCCACAATGCCTTTATTCAAAAAAAAAAAATATTCATTATCAATAAATTAAATAAGAGAAATAATTTTATTAGTTATATTGTCTTTATTTTTCTACAATATAAAAATTCTTTATATTCAAATTTATTAATTGATTATATTCGCTACATTGTCCTTACAATGTCTTATTTCAGTGAAAAAAAATTATTCATTATCAACAAATTAATTAAGATAAATATTTTCATTAGTTATATTGTCCTTATTTTTCTCAAATGTAAAAATTTTTACATTCAAATTCATCAATTGATTATATTCACTACATTGTCTATTATCTTTTTTGTGCACTATTTTTCTAATTAAATATCAAAGTTATAATACAAAATAATGCTATATATTTATTTACCAAGTATTTTATTAATACCATGAAAAAATAAAAAAAAAAAAATTAATAAAGCCAACCATATTAACTAGAGAGATTTTGTGAGAAAGAGAGTATTCAAATCACACAACAAATTGAAGTGAGAACTACCTTACAATGTCCTTGTTTGACAATCAGCAGTTAGCGGTTAGCGTTAGCGGATTTGACCAACGAATTTATTTAATTATTAACATTGGGTAGAAAAAATGACCGCCAAATTATTAAATCAAATGAATGGTTCAGATTGTTCAGGTTTTAATTTTTTTCTTTTAAGTTTTTCTAATTTATCCTTAATTATATGA